AACCCTAGGGAAACGAAATAACCCTAGGGAAATAAGTAGATTCCAGTAGTGAATTGTTTACATATTCTTCATCCACTTCAAGTGCCCTAATGCCATGTGTCGTCGGTTAGCCCACATCATCCGTCGTCATCCTCCAGTCTGAACGAGCCGATTAGACGTGAGCCGACATGATCTGGTTCGCTTCGCCAGACTCCCATAGGTGCTAGGTGCAGGCAATCGCACGCCCTGGTTACTTCACCAGCGAGAGAGGTGGCCTTGCTGCTTCGCCAGGAAGGAATGTGTACAGTACCTATATCGAAACTTTCTGCGGCGTGCCACGTGGCAACTGCGTCCGTCGATTCCGCATCGTGCACAGCCCAAAAAGCGGTTGATAACAACCGCAAATCAACCGTTGACCATTAGCATTTCTATAAGTGATTAGCCAAGGTGACCATATATATATATATATATATATATATATATATATATATATATATATATATATATACTTTCTATGATGTGTTTGACACATTTTTTTTTGAAACTAGCGTTTGACACAGTTTGGTGTGCACAATATATATAGTTTCAAAGCTCCGGCTATCGACTTCTTTTCCAGTACTATAATTGAACATATGAAAAATGTTGAAGTAAATTTGTCTTGAAGATTATTTCATAATGTACTACAATCTATTTTTGAAAAGTAATCAGAGATTCCATTTTGTGGAGTTCACATTTACGTAAACAAATCACTTATATTTTATTTGTGACCAGATAGAGCACTTTGCCTAGCTACACTGTGCGTGTGACGGAGATGTGTGAGGTAGAAAGAAAGCAGATAGATCAACTGGAAGACCTCAGTAATCCCTGCCCTACCGGAATCAAGCATGCATTCGTGACAACGTACGATAGGGTCGTATGTGTGCACACAATTGCTAAACTGAGCAAGGACACAGAGATCTATGGCTAGCTTCCAACATCATCTACAGCGTGTGTGGAGCTAATTCAAAGTCAAAAAGCAAAGTTTGAGTGTTGCCCCTGGCATTGGCGACCTCATCCTGCCTGCATCACAAGTTTGTCTAGCACATAAAAACTTTGATCAATCCCTTTCATAAAAAATCTCCCTCAGATTTTGGCTAGGATTGAGATGAACTCAAGTCAGAAAAGGCCCAAAGGCCAGGCCATACAGGGAGCCGAGAACCATTAGGAACTCTTTTGCTGGAACGTAGGGTGTCTATATAAAACACAGGATTATTAGACTTGCACGTCACTTGCAATCCTACAACAATTGAAAATACAGGTTTCTAATTGAGTATTTGGATAAAATACGTGACTGGAAAAATATAGGAATTAGAAGAGAGAGATTGACACAAAGCAATGTTTCCAAGAGGTTGGACCTCAAGTTAGAATTCCCCTAAAATTCCTATGGATGATCCATTCCATATGAATTTTGTTGAATTTTAGGATGACCAATCCTTTTATTCTTTTAAAGGCTACATAGAAAAAATTCCTACAGGTTAGCAATCTAAAAATTTCCTTCATGAATCCTATGTTCAAGACCTTACCCCATACTACCATTTTTTTTAGATAATGGATTTTTATTAATGCGGCCTCTATATTCATGAAGAATATACACAGTCAATAGGATACAGGAGCACTAAGACTCACACCTCAACAAACAGGAGAACACACAACCAAAAAAAGTGAGAAAACTATGACCTTGGCACATCCCCTGCTTCCCGACATCCTCTCCTAAAATGGCCAGATCTTGTGAGTGGAAGTCGTTAAGTCGCCGCCGCCCTAGTGCGCCACCGGTGTGAACCTCGCTGGGCGCCATCTTCATCCGCTTCAAGTGCCCTAATGCCATGTGTCGTCTGTTAGCCCACATCATCCGTCATCATCGTCCAGTCTGAACTAGCCGATCGACAACGTGAGCCGACATGATCCGGTTCTGCTTCACGGACTCCCATAGGTGCTAGGTGCAAGCTATCGCACACCCTGGCTACTTCACCAGCGAGAGAGGTGGCCTTGCCGCTTCGCCAGGAAGGAACATGTACAGTACCTATATCGAAACAAGGCGTCCGTCGATTCCGCATCGAGCACAGCCCAAAAATCGGTTGATAACAACCGGCGAATCAACTGGCTGACCATTAGCATTTCTATAAGTGATTAGCCAAGGTGACCATATATATATATATATATATATATACTTTCTATGATGTGTTTGACACATTTTTTTTTTGAAACTAGCGTTTGACACAGTTTGGTGTGCACTATATATATACTTTCAAAGCTCCAGCTATTGACATCTTTTCCAGTACTATAATTGAACATATGAAAAATGTTGAAGTAAATTTGTCTTGAAGATTATTTCATAATGTACTACAATCTATTTTTGAAAAGTAATCAGAGATTCCGTTTTGTGGAGTTCACAATTACGTAAACAAATCACTTATATTTTATTTGTGACCAGATAGAGCACTTTGCCTAGCTACACTGTGCGTGTGACGGAGATGTGTGAGGTAGAAAGAAAGCAGATAGATCAACTGGAAGACCTCAGTAATCCCTGCCCTACAGGATCAAGCATGCATTCGTAACAACGTACGATAGGGTCGTATGTGTGCACACAATTGCTAAACTGAGCAGGGACACAGAGATCTATAGCTAGCTTCCAACATCTTCTACAGCGTGTGTGGAGCTAATTCAAAGTCAAAAAGCAAAGTTTGAGTGTTGCCGCTGGCATTGGCGACCTCATCCTGCCTGCATCACAAGTTTGTCTGCCACATAAAAACTTTGATCAATCCCTTTCAGAAAAAATCTCCCTCGGATTTTGGCTAGGATTGAGATCAACTCAAGTCAGAAAAGGCCCAAAGGCCAGGCCATACAGGGAGCCGAGAACCATTAGGAACTCTTTGGAACGTAGGGTGTCTATATAAAACACAGGATTATTAGACTTGCACGTCACTTGCAATCCTACAACAATTGAAAATACAGGTTTCTAATTGAGTATTTGGATAAAATACGTGACTGGAAAAATATAGGAATTAGAGAAGAGAGAGATTGACACAGAGCAATGTTTCCAAGAGGTTGGACCTCAAGTTAGAATTCCCCTAAAATTCCTATGGATGATCCATTCCATATGAATTTTGTAGAATTTTAGGATGACCAATCCTTTTTTTTCTTTTAAAGGCTACATAGAAAAAATTCCTACAGGTTAGCAATATAAAAATTTCCTTCATGAATCCTATGTTCAGGACCTTACCCCATACTACCATTTTTTTTAGATAATGGATTTTTATTAATGCGGCCTCTATATTCATGAAGAATATACACAACCAATAGGATACAGGAGCACTAAGACTCACACCTCAACAAAGAGGAGAACACACAAAAAAAAAGTGAGAAAACTATGACCTTGGCACATCCCTGCTTCCCGACATCCTCTCCTAAAATGGCCAGATCTTGTGAATGGAAGTTGTTAAGTCGCCGCCGCCCCTAGTGCGCCACCGGTGTGAACCTCCGCTGGTGTCATCTTCATCCGCTTCAAGTGCCTAATGCCATGTGCCGTCGGTTAGCCCACATCATCTGTCGTCATCGTCCTGTCTGAACTAGCCGATCAGATGTGAGCCGACATGATCCGTTTCTGCGGACTCCTGTGCCCATCGCCATCCCTAGGACACTTCGCCACGGAACCACCTCCGTTGCATCCACCTTCTCCTTGCCAAGGATGGCCATCGATGCTTAGGCTGCTGGCCGATCAAGAGACGGACGGGCGAGACCCAGTGCACCTGGCAAGCGCGTCTTTGGCCGCAACCCTGTCCACTTGGGTGCCACTGCCTAGCCATCGAGCGCAGGGGGGCAGTGCGCGTGGGCCTCCGGCATGGCCTCGCCACCCGGCCCGCCGCCGACTCAGCTAACGTGCATGCATGCACGAGCGGCAGCATGGCCGCGTCCACCCGTCATTGCCCCTCCATCCACGTGATTACTAATATCGATGACCATAACAAGGGTCCTTTCTTCTTTAGGATTTGAATCCAGAATGGTGTGAAGTTTGGAATCATAACCTCTAGCCGCATGCCACGGACAAGATCTACACCTAAGATTAAAGCCATCATCCCTTGCTTTCATCCCTCTTAGGCCCTGTTTGTTTGTTTTGAAGTTTGGAATCCTAAGCTCTAGTCGCAAGCTGCAGACAAGACCTAAGATTAAAGCCACCATCCCTTGCTCTCATCCCTCTTAGGCCCTATTTGTTTGGCTTTCCAGCAGCTTTTGGTCCTCAAAGCTAGAAGCCCAAACAAAAAACTGGCTTTTAGTTCCAGCTTTGACTAGCCAGGAAGCCCACGAAAGCCACCTTTGTACAGAAAGCCCCAAAGCTCACAAGAAGTGGCTTCTTCTAGCTTTGGTGCAATATTTACCCACCTTGCCACTGGTTATGTTGCGAATCGTTTTCTTTTCTATCCGCGTGACGCTTCTTTCCCCTCCCCTGTCCGCCCGAGCGCCCGCTCCCTCGCTGTATCACGTCTGCACCGGCACCTGCACGAACCCGGCCGTGCTTCGCCATCTTTGCAGGGGATTGCTAGTGGCCAGGCTTGTCTCCGCCTTCTCGATCTGTAGGTGAGCAAATTCATTCCTAAACGGAATTGTTGTTCTTGTGTGAGCATGAAACTCAACCGCAGTGCTTACTCTCTCGACCTCTGTAGTGCTTATTCTCTCGATCGATCTCTATGTGCTTTGCCATCCACATCCTCCAGCATAGCTTCGCCGCCGTGCAGTGTCCAGAGGTGAGCTTAGCAAGAACTTTTATGAGCTTGTATGAAAGTGTGATGAATTTGCTTGTGTGAAACTTGAATTGTGAACATAAGTCTAAAATTGGGGTTTTTATTACTAAAGCATCACTATGCAAGTATTAGGCCAGGTCTTATTGTGCTGGTGCTGATGAACGAACTTTGCCAAAATTGTTGTGATGTGCCAATTTCTTGAATTGATTGTCTTATTCTTCCATTTTCAATTTTCTTTTGTAGACTATGGAGGATCGAAGCCGCTGGATGTATCTTCGGAACTGTACTTGTGAAGAGTACTTAGGTGGTCTGAACTCTTTCCTAACTGTTGCAGAGGCGGATATGTTGAATGGACAGAAGTCATCAATGTGGTGTCCATGTGTTGACTGTGAGAATGAGAAGCAATACTCGAATTATATGACAGTCCATGCCCACTTAATCATTCGAGGATTCATGGATGACTACAGATATTGGAACAAACATGAAGAAGAAGGTGTCAATGACCGAGACCAGGCGCAGGCTGCTGGTCAGCATGATTGTGAGGAAGTACTTCATGAAACTTATGCAGGTGGCGAGGAAGCACCCTTTGATAATCAGGATCTATGTGATAAGGATGTAGCAGAGATTGTTGCCAACTATGATGCAGTCCATCTTGCTGAGAATCTGGACGAGATGAAAGTGCGTGATGCCTTCGGCTTTGAGGAGTACACTGGTTTGGAGTTCAAAAAGCTGAAACAGCTATTGAAAGATATGAAGACCCCACTCTATCCTAGTTGCAATGAGAAGTATACGGAGTTATCCGCTTCACTCAAACTTCTCCGATTGAAGACAGCACATCATTGGACTAGCAAGAGCTTCAAAGAATTGCTAGAAGTGCTTAAGGATATGCTTCCCTAGGGGAACGAGATACCAGGACTACATATGAGACCAAAAAGTTTGTTTGTCCAATGGGATTGAAGTTCGAGAAAATTCATGCTTACAAGAATGACTGCATCATGTTCCGTGGTGATAATGAAGCTCTCATTGAATGCCCCAAGCTTGGGCTTGGATCCAAACAAGAGAAACAAAACATTTTACTCTCAAAACATTGGAGAAATAGAGGACGAACAAGCTCACTGGCTGCCTGCAATTTATTCATGGCTCAGCACATACAACAATGTGTTTTCACACACTACTACAAAACAAGGATATTGTTGCACTTTGTTGTAACATATTCATCAATGTGTTCCAGTGAAATTTCATAGTAACACAAAATAGTGTGTTACAGACTTCGTTGTAACACAAAACACTTTCAATAATTATACTAACACAAAATTAATGTTACAAGCAAAATGTTACAAAAGTATACTATGTTGTAATACATAAATGGAACATATAAAATGTGTAACAAATATATGTCCTGTAGTAACACCAAATAATGTTGCAGTCCAAGTGTTACGAAGAAACATATACATGTGAACCTTCCTGTTCATAGGCGACATGGACATCGCACTTGGGTGTCATCAAGGCTGTTAGGCAATCACATCGTGGTAATCAGATGAGAACCAAGTAGCAATGAGCAAGCGATTAAAAGGTTAGTTCGATGCCAGAGCCGATTGTCAATTTATTAGGCCGAGCTCAAGACACTCTAGATAGAGAGCTAAATCACAAGAGGAACAAGTACAACGGGGAACGAAAAAATGAAAAACAAAAAACAAAAAATGTGAAATTAAATTGGAGCAATATAGATATTTTGACGTTGTTGCGCGAACCCACGACCCAATGTAGCAAAAGGTCATGCTATATTGCATCGAAAAATGTCATCAAAAGGTCATGCTATATTGCATCAAAAAATGACATAGAGAATGACATAAGGTTCTATTGCTACTCATAACATATGTTGCAGTAGTGTAGTACATTTGGTTGCAAGTTATTAGACTTATTGCCACTCAAATTTGTTGGACCTGCATAGTCCTACACATGGGCCAACGGCAAAGAGGTTAGGCTAACCAGCTAGCCACTAGGCAAGCACGTTCAGTCATGTAACCTCTTATGCTAATCTACTGAATGTATAGAAGTGGTTGAGGTGTCTTGATCCTTTCAAATGTATAGAAGTAATTGAGTTGCTAGTTATGGCATGTACAACCCATTGGTAGGGTGTTATCTACAAGTTCTTGCTACATCACACTACAGACATGGTAAATCGAGAGCTCATATAGTGAGTCTATTTTTAATACGTGCATTCAACCATGATCAAACATAAATAGTATCTCTATATACCATTTGTTGCTTCCTTCATACAGATCAGATTAAGCATAAATATGATGAACGTAATTACAGTATTCCTTGATAAAAATATCAACATAGTAACAGTAAGCTAGGTAGATAACTCGACATCAGGTTTCATACATGACAGTTTCACAATTGTCCACTTCTGACTATTGTTGGCTAAACCATCAAGGCCAATAGTGGTGTCCTATAGCTGAATGCATACATATTATATATTAGCTCACACAAGCACACTGGCAGCGCAAGCCAAAATAAGAACCATGGAATGGGGTAACATTGATCATTTAGTAATGGGAGCAAAGAACACACTCAGCTGGTGCTTCCTTGATCAGACAACTCCACACCTATAACCATAGAGATGAACAGGCTTAGGAATGAAATACCAATAGTCCACGATAAAGTAGACCTGTTAGATACTTTCAGGAAATAACCTGTTCCTGAAACACTTCAGGGCAGCAACTTGCCACCTTTTTCATCACCAGACATAGTACTTGTGTCTTGTGAGAGGAGGCTTTTATAACCTTCTATCATCTTGGCCTCTTTGTTCTGCATCACTGAAAGATGGGCAAGTCTTCTCCCTATGGTTATAACCTTCTACTTGTGTCTCTTTGCATTTCTAGTACCTTCATGTGGTTTCATTAGCTTATGTCTGAATTTTACTGAATCTGTCAAGCTAATCCCAACAATGCAATTGTTCATGAAAGGTACATAATCAACATCCTGAACACATAAATCTGAACATACTAGAGTTGTTTAGGTAGCCCATCAACATCCTGTGCACATTGGTAAATTATACTGAAATGTAACACTATTGCACCCTCGCATTTATATATGAGATATTATATACTGATATATCCTCCCTTTGGGGCTATTATTCAATACAGGTGCTTTTATATCTTCCACTGTACAGTACGTACACACTTTGAAATGCTTGAAACAACATAGATGAACTTACACTTATCCATCGATTGTTTCTTCACATGTATGTGCATGAGAAGGTGAGACAGAAGGTGGTTTGTGGAGAGCCAATTTCTGATAGACGTCCTGCATTTCTGGCCTGAACTGAGGAGAAGGTTGCAGGCAATCAAATGCAACTTTGACAAGCAAAGAGATTTCTTTCATCTCCACCATTGTTGGTGATGATAAGCGTTGGTCCAACATATCCTCTACTGCAAGATGATGCTGTTCCAAGGAAGCAATGGACTGTAGCTCTCTGGGGTATCTCCCCATCACAATCTCCAACACGACGACACCAAAACTATAGACATCACATTTTGTTGTCACCACTGATGTGTAAGAAAGCTCTACATCAAAATAAAAGCAACTGACAACAGTCAAACATACTGACAAAACAAAGTGAAATTTTCATATTTGCAAATCGTAACATGAATATATTTGCTATGTGAAAGAAAAAGCTAACTGACCACATACCAGGTGCTATATATCCATATGTTCCAGCTAGTTCGCTCCGGTTGGATGAATACGGTTTGAGCATCCTTGCTATTCCAAAATCTGAAACATAAGCCTTAAAAGCTGCATCCAGTAAGATGTTGTTGTTTGTTATATCACGATGGATTATCGGTGGGTTGCATTCATGGTGCAAGTAGTAGATAGCTTGAGCTACATCTCTTGCAATGGCAACTCGCTTCTGCCAGACCAACTCCTTTGCAAGATCCTCAGTTTCCAAGATAATGTGAAGGTTTCCTCTCTCAATGTAATCGTACACTAAAAATTTGTACCTTGGATGGGAGCAAAATCCATACAACTTGACGATGCTTCTATGCCGTATCTTTGTCAGCACTTCAATTTCACTAAGGAATCTATTCTCATCACTAATCCCTTCTTCAGTTGGGTGAAGCTTTTTCACCGCAACTAATCTCCCTCCTTGAAGCTGTGCCTTGTAGACTGTGCCCCGAAAACCCCTGATCCAATGAGGTACCTATCACTGAAATTTTATGTTACCCTAGTGATGTCCTCAGACACTAGTTTCCCATCAAAATTCAATACCGAGAGAACATCCCTTGTATCTGTAACTGTTGTAATTTGTGGTCTTTTCCTTTTTCAAGGATCATTACTAACACAACAATTGAGAGAATAATAACTTTGTGGCATTCCTTTATTGGAGTTGAAGAGCATGTGGGCAGGCCTGAGATATTACCACAGAGACCTTTGTTGTGGCGGAACCATTTTGCTGAGGCATTGTGGAATAGTTGTCCTATTGGAAGAGGCCCTTCCAAGTTGTTGTATGACACATGAAGTGTTGACAGACTAGCCATGCTACCAATGGAGGAAGGAATGCTTCCACTGAACTGATTATGGGAAAGGTTTAGTTCCTCCAACATCACCAAGTTTCCAAGTTCTACAGGTAGCTTGCCCCTGAGTTTGTTGCTGCTTACATCCAACACCATCTGTAGCCCTCCCAGGTTACCAATAGTCGTTGGCAGAGGTCCACTCAAGTTGTTGTTGTTAACCCTTAAGGATATTAGCATAGTACAACTCCCAAGCTCTTGTGGTATTGATCCACTCAACTTATTTGCAGATATATCAAGGTATTGTAAAATTTGCAGCTGACCAAATTCAGGTGGTATATTACCTGAAAGTTTGTTCTGCGATAAGTTGAGGAAGTACAGGTTGGCAGGATTGCTGAATTCTGCTGGTATACTGCCCGTTAGGTTGTTGGCATGTATTGTAAGTACCTCTAGTTTTCCAAGGTTTGAAAGCTCTGGAGGTAAGCTTCCTGTTATCATGTTTTCTTCCATAACAAAAATGGTCAAATTGATGTTTGAAGCCCAGGTTTTGGACAAATACCCAAAAAAGTTGTTTCTATCCAACTTTGCTTTGACAAGTCGGGGATGTGGCCCAAAAGATGATATATCTCCTGTCATTTGTTGGAACTAAGGGAAAGAATCTTCAAGCTCCTACATGTTTCAAGGCTTATAGGAATTGTGCCAGTGAACATGTTGTTACTAACGTCGAAACTTAGAAGATTCCCGCCTTTGCATAGATCAGAGGGCAGTTCCCTAACAGAGAGTTGTATGCCAAATCAACATCTGTTAAGTATGTAAATTTTATCGAATTCTCATGGCAAAGGACCTGACAGCTTGTTCGATAAAAGACGAGGACTCTTATGCTTGTGAGGTTTGTGAAAGTTGCTGGGATGGAACCTGAAATCTTGTTTTCGGATAAAGACAAGGAATGGAGATCCACCAAAGCGCCAATCTCTGCAGGGATGGATCCAACGAACTGGTTTTCAATGAGGCTAAGAAAGTTTAGCATAGTAAGGTTCCCCATGCTCGGTGGAATGGGGCCACTTAGCTCTGGTTGGCGTCTAAAACAGCTCGCTTATATTGGAAAGTGAGATGCTGGTGAGCTAGCACCTTGGTGATGAGCGATTGACAACACGGTGTGCGTGTGACGTGTCTCTCGGCAGGTTGTGGTTGTAGGTGACAGGTGGAGACAAGGTACATGCGGCGACAGTGAAGAACGAGGATAGGATGCCGTGCCGAAGAACCGTGGGGGCGGAGAAGGGCGGATCGAGGCTTGCGTTCGAGGGACAAAGCGATCGTGTGGTGTACGTCTACTGTACCTGGCTACACGGTTGGAGGACGTCGAGGGAGGTTTCCAGATTACGCCACAAAATCCGGGGTTCGCTGGTTGAGCCACAAAGCCATGCATCGTACCGGGACGCTCGTGCGGCGTGCGTTGGCCGAAGATGGAAATTCTGGCGATCGCGATACGATTTCGGATGGTCGTGCGGCGACATCGCGAGGATCACATCGCGGAGATGGAGGGATCGTGGACATCGCGGAATTTGCCATGGAGGACGTAATTGGAATTTACGCCCCTACGTTGAATTTATTTAGCGTAGGGGTTATGTGAAAATAGGTCGTGCCACCCTTTGGAGATATAAATATGTGGCACCTAGGGTTGAGAGTTGTAGGACGTTTTGGACTCCCGGCGAGTTACTATTCACGCGTGAACAGTACCTG